ATTCTAGTGTTATACAGTCGTATAATTAAACGAAACAACCTATTGACTTTTATCAACTTCAAAGTTGACATGGTTTCATGGTTTCAAAAATGTGTAACTTAACAATCTTCACAACCTCGTAATGCAAATTACTTGTGCTCACTAGTCACTAGCTTCGTGAGGAATCTTCTCCGAGTTCTAGTGGGAAGAAGTGACCAGTGAAGTTCAACCTGTTCGGGTATAGACAGTGTCTACCGAAGACTGTGTATGAGGTTGCGCAACTCCGTGAATTTGATCAAGTTAGACATTAACACCGTTAGATACTGGCTCAGTGGTCTATCGGTTAGGGCGTTCGCGCACAACACTGACGATTCTAGGTTCGAATCCTGCGGGGTGCTTGAGTCATGGATGCGCAGTGCTGAGGAGTCACATACCAGGACGAAACGGCCGTCCAGTGCTTCCAAGTTTCTAATGGTGGTCTAACATAGATCGGTTCATGGTTTCAAAATATGTAACTTAACAATATTCACAACCCCGTAATGCACATTTGAAATCATGAATCAATCATTGTTAGACCACCATTAGAAACCTGGAAGCATTAGACTGCCGTTTCGTCCTGGTAAGGGACTCTTTTACGCTGTTTATTCTGAGCGTAAACAACCGACGAATTAAAATTTACTCTTCATCAAGTTACATTACCAGTGAAAAATTACACATTGACAGCAAATTTTTTTCAATTCAACCATACAAATACGTGTATGTTTAGTTCATTTCACTAATTAAATTAGATTAAATTAAATTAAAGATTTGATTTTGTCTATCACACCCATATTTAAAAATCTTATTTTCATCAGGTCAATAATAATATCAAAATTTTCATAATCAAAACCAATTTTAGGTCATTTTGTTTGTAACCATGAATCGATAAATGTTAGACCACCATTATAAACCTGGAAGCACTGGACGGCCGTTTCATCCTGGTATGGGACTCATCAGCAGTACGCACCCACGACTCCTGCACCCCGCGCGATTCGAACCCAGGACCTTCGGTATTGTGCGCGAACGCCCTAACCGTCAGACCACTGAGCCGGTATCTAACGGTTCATGGTTACAAATAAAACTTAACAGTCTTCACAACAACCCCTCAATGCAATAGGTCATTTTGGTTTGAAACTAAACATTCACACACACACACTCATACACACACTTAAACAGAGTTTGATTATTTTAAATATTAATAATCATAAGCTGAGTTAATAGTTTTTTTTCTTATAAAGTAAATGTGAAAAGTATGTCTATCAATTTTTTTGAAATAATAGGAAAAACGTACTATTATTATATCCTTAATACAATTTTCCAAAAACATTTTATACAAGTTTCTAAATAGTTTTATTTTTTTTTTCAAGTGTTTAAATGTGTTTATAGGGAACACAGTTGGAAGTATGATTATTATTATTATTATTATTATTGCTGTTTTATGCTTAAGATTGTTATAAATAATAAAATAATTAGTGAAAATTTAATTTAATTTCTATTTTGATTGGATAAAATGAGATTATATTTATTAGAGAGAGAGAAAAAGAAAATTCTATTTTGTTGTTAAATCTCCATGAATGAACTTTAAGTCACACATTTGGTTCAAGCTTTCTTTCAATCGCCGAATGAAACGTTGGATTTGTTTAAAAGTTCGATAGCTGAGATTTACAAGTTTAATTTTTTCCCATCTAGTGTTTCACATTAATGCAATGACCAGCTGTTGTGAAACTATGCGTTCAAATTTAGGAATAAGTTTTTATAACAATAAAATTAGTCATTTGAAATCGTCATGCGCACTGCTGATGAGTCTGATACCAGGACGAAACGGCCATTTCTAATGGTGGTCTAACAATGATTGATTGATTGATCATTTCAAATCTCCATAACTCTAATTGAAATTAAATTTAGTTTCGAAATTTTGTTTTCTAGCTACGGAAAATATAGTTACATCATAAATTTAGAGTGATGTCTATTTGGTTATTCTAGAGACTAAGTAGGGATTCTATCAGACATTACGATCTGACTGTATTTTGACAAGGAATTAAATATCTGAATTTGCTAAACAACTGTTTCCTCATGGTATGAGACTTCACCGTGGTGTGAATAAACAATAATCTCATGTTCACTAAACTCAGGAGCTTAATGTCTTGCGATTTAGAACATTAAGTAAACATTTTCAAACTTCATTCCACTGGTGACACAATGAAACTATCTTCTAATGCCGTTTAGTTGGTAATAACTTCTTCTCACTGTTAGGGTTGTGCTAATCACAGCTTCTGACTACATTTTCGTGATGCGAAATTATGAAATTCAACAATTAACTGAACCCCCTGCACGCTAAAAACAAAATCTAGATTGTTTTACCAACTCATTGATTGATCTAAGTTATTCAAGATAAATAGTTTATTTAAAACTATAAGTACTTTTAATTAAAATAACAATAATGAAAGATAGATATATTTAAAAAATCCTTTAAGTATACATACTCATTAACTAGACTTTTATTCAGAAATTTACTTTCCGAATATGATTGTAGTAAGATAAACATACTGATGATAAACACAGTTGTTTCCTTCAAAGTAATTAGTTTTATATAAAGACATCGATGGCGCGAAAATATTCCTTGGTCGAAATTTCTTTTTAACCAGTTAGCGACTTTGAGATAGTTTTCAGAAAACTCCAGAAGTTAACTCGTTCAGTTTTGTCCCTATTCTACTGGTTAAGTATTAATATTAGTCTGTTTTCCAGAAGTTTCTAGGAATCCAAGGTCACTAGTAACTGTTCACACAGTCTTAATTATCTGGAACAAATGTATCCTTCGATATAAAGTTTCTTCTGGATTATTCCATTAAAGATTTGTGTAAAACTCAAGAAGATTTGAGAAAGTATAAGGATCTCAGAAGTTCAGTATACCAAACAAATTGAATATGTTGGAATTTATATAAACTTAATACTGATGGAGTCTCCTGATGAACAGATCCAGTGAAAGTCAAGAATTTGTATTTTTAAAATAAAACTGTTAGGTTAACTGCAATTATAAGTTAATAAAAATTAATAAAACATTTCTGATTCTCAGCTTGTGCAAATGTATAACACTTGGATCCAAACACACCTATCTGACAAGTCCTAATCGGATGAAATGCGTATTTCGAGTTCCACTGCTGGTCACTCCCCAACTTTACTAAAAAAGCTTCATAAATTCTATTTATGACGATTACAGCTAACAAAATCACTATAATTTGAAGAAATCAATCTTCAGTGATTGATTAGGACTTTTTCGGAAACAAAACAACACAGGTTTAAATGACATTAAAGATTATTGTTTCAAAAAAACTAAATCTTATGTCAATACTTCTAGACAATTTTGCCAAAAGCGAACTTGGAAATATTTCATTACCATTTAATGTGCAATTTTTATTAAGATGTAATTGATCTGATATGAAAATTCGGTATCATATAAAACTATGTCTGAAGACTAGTAAAGAGTTTTAGGATACTTAATTTCGCTACAGTTACGAACAATACTGCTGTCCTTATACTAATCACAATTACCAATAAATCACACCCCACTGCAGAATGAGATATAATTTCTTTATAACACAAATTTATATATGAATGGATCGTGATTATCCAGTGTTGAGAAGTTTGACACTCGAGTGAAACAGCTCTACACAAAGTCAATTCTTTCGTAGTAACTATCCTCACAGTTTAACAATTTCACGCCTCTTTTCCTATTGAACATTTTATTTCATGTAAAGAAAATCTTCAGCTCAGATGGATGATTGTGATACAGTTTCATTCTGTGAGCTGAATGTTTTGGTTGCCGAGTTTTCATTGTTAACTATCTGTTGACAAGTTTTTATTGCATAGAGTTGTACACCTTACCAGGTGTTTTCATATTTCGGGGCTGGTTTACAAGCAATTATAATTATCGGGTTATTCAATTGTCAGTTTATCAAGTTTGTTGAATATTGAATTTAAAAAAAACCCGAATATTGTTCAAGTTTCAATTAATTAGCTGTAAATTAGAAATATTAACATTTTAGAACTTTTAATTTAATTTACGTATGGCTAACCATCAACTGCCTCGACGAGCTATGTTTTGTGGTATAGGAGTAGGCCGGAAGAAAGTTAGGTGGGCCAGACCAAAACACGGCAAAAATCCATGAAGTCACTGACTAGTGGACTGAGTCATGTTGGTAGATGTAGACTACCTGGTTGGGGTCCGCGAGACGAAAGTCACCAATGGTTAGAGACCTTGAATGACATGGTTCAAAATCGTTTGCAATGGAGCAGGTACATCCACTCTTTGTATTCTCTCAAATTCTAACCTTCTGGATTCATCAACACCTCTACCTTTGTCTTTCTAAATTAATCTCACTGAATTATACTTCTTGAATAATATCTTCGAACCCTAGTCTTCTTCATTACCAATAATACCTCTACTATCTTTATCACTATGGGATTTGATTTGACATCTGCGTCTTTGTGCTAATGTGGTACGGCAAGATGAACTTATGTACATACGTACGTAGTTCTACGTTGCGACTGACTGACTCACTTTTAATTTATCTATAAAAAATATTATTACGCCTTACTTTACTTCTCCGAGTTCTAGTGGGAAGACGTGACCATTGAAGTTCAACCTGTTCGTGTGTAGACTGTGTATGAGTTTGCGTAACTCCGTGAATGGATCAAGTTAAACATTAACACCGTTAGATACCGACTCAGCTGTCCGATGATTAGGCGTTCGCGCACAATACCGAAGGTCCTGGGTTCGAATCATGCAAGTTGCAAGAGTCGTGGATGCGCACTGCTGATGAGTCCCATAACAGGACGGAATGGCTGTCCAGTGCTTCCAAGTTGCTAATGATGGTCTAACATTGATCGATTCATGGTTTCAAATGTGTAACTTAACAATATTCACAACCCCGTAATGCAAATATAACTTTGAATAAATATATGTTTATATACTTACTCTTTAGGTGAATGGTCAAGATCTTCGAAATGCAACACATGAACAAGCGATTCATGCTTTTCAAACAGCTAAAGAACCAATTATCGTGGAAGTTGCTCGTCGTGATCCAAATGTTGAACTATTACAAAAATCCACTGTGAATTCCAATTCGGATGTTGTAAACCATTTGGACAATCAAAGTAGACGATCTGTAGCAATTCAAACTGATCCAAGTACAGCTGAAGCAACTCTAGCAGCGATGGCTGCTGCTGCATTAACAACTGAAGATATACGTACAGCGCTGGGAATAAGACATCCAGGTTTACCAACAAGGTAACTATTTTTTCAAACGGGAAAAATCTAAGTTTAATCATAATTAAGTTTTCATTGAAACTATAAAGATGATTTCAATGATATCATGCTCATAATTGTGAAGCTTTCGTTGTTGCCCTGGACAACACCATCTTCGTCTACTTTACGTAAATATCTTAACGAAGTAGGCGCTAATGATGTTGTTCAGAATGAGAATAAAACCTCCACAACTAGACTATTTCGCTTTAAGAACATAACATTACCATAAGTGCGCATTGTTAATGTAATGAAGTCATATTTTGTTTGTATTCTGTGTCAGTTTTCTCACAAGTCATCTTTCATAGTATACACAACAATGGACAGTGTCGAAATGAACATACGAAGCGTATGTTAACTGTTGATTCTGTTGAAGTGGTAAAAGTATAATATTGGGGCAAAAACACTACAAACCGATAAAACCATTTTTGAAATTGTGCATTAAAAATTCAAAAATAAACGAGAAAGCAGAAGGATGGCCCTTAGAATATCAATAATTAATAGAGTAAACACAACAAAGTTGAATATTTATCCCATCTACGATTCTCTCTATGTAGACCGAAATCAATCTTATTGCTAAACCTTGATTTCCAATTTTTATTCCTAAAGATTAACCAAGATAAATGTAAGGACTCCTAAAAAGACTTTCCACGTCTTTATAAAGGCTCGATAATACAGGCGATCAACGACGAATGTGTCTGTTATTCTGGTTTCTATTTAAGGATAGAATTTAATCAACACATCGTTTGTGTAAAATCTGCGTACTCTGTGTAACTTTATCGTTTTTCTCTTCATTAGCTGTTTTGTGGCTGACTGATAATAGATCAAAGTTTACTGGCGCTATTTTAAACTCATGCCTATTATTGCATATACATTGGGTGTCTGTTATTGGTGAACTGACACTACTCAAACAATCACTATAAACTGTACAGCACTGCACAGTTCATGAATCGTAGTATGTGATTCTTTAACAATGTTCACGAATAATCCATCGACAGGATGAATCTGAGTCTCTTGGCTCTCACGACGACCAGATCTCGAAGATGACCTACAATAACGTTAGTGTTCCTTATTATTTTTACCGATTTTAGATTTTTCAGAAATATTCAGAACACCTCGTCTTTTTCTCTTAATATCACTACAAATCGACTAGTTATTAGACGACTCTCGTTAGAAAACGAACTTATGCTTATCTAACATAAATCAAACTGTGATACCATCAAGCTATCTAGACGACAGAGTTGTAGACTATGATCTACTGGTTGGAAGACAATTGATTTAAAACTATTCAGACAAAATTTTGATTCTGCTAGCTGATTTTTATCTCGGTAAAGAACTGCCTAGGTAAATTCAACCGACACTGAACCGTATTACGCAAGAATCAGCTCGATCGCTTTATTTAAACGTAGTGAGATGCAAATCCATGACCAAACTCCTCCATACATAATCCATATATTTACAACTGATTGTAAAGAAAGATATTTAAAACACATTCTATTTTCCAGTACAAACAGACATACATATTGACACTGGGTTATCACAAAGAGGATAAAGACTAATCACAAGTATGTTTATGATAATAAAATGTAAGATACATTCAGGTTTCATTTGATTGGGGAGTGAGTAGCCAGCATATTGGCTTCTTCCGATCATCTGTGATAACTTATCATGGTCAAATAATGTTAATAAGTTGTACAGAAACGTATCATTTTATTCAATCAAAAGATATTCTTCTGGCTACTGGTGTTGTCTCTGATCCCAAATCATCCAAAGACTTGTGTTAATAATTCGGTCATGTGATCAGCAATCCCTGAACTGCATCGTATTACTGTATACCATCAGTCGATTATTGTTCTACTCACTGCTTTCAACTACGGGAAATTCATTTACACCATAACCCTACTTTAAAACAACTTCCATCACAGAGAGCGAGACATTTTTCTGTTACATTGTTAAATCTCCCTAACAGACTTATTTTTGTAACACGTGTTATCAGCAGTCACCGAACAGCGGATCAGATCTAAAATTGCAACACACAGAGTTAGCTTAACACTTCACACCAAGAGAGAACACGAAGTACGGCCACGGCACTCTTTTATTTGAAAATTAAAATACGCGGGGTTTTTACAGAAAAAGGGTGGGTAGTGTACCAAAGTCTTATGAGTCATCCTGTAAGTTCAGAGCACTCAGGGCTTGTTCTTCAGCTTCCAAAGCGTTTGGTCGCCCTGAAATAGAAAGAAAACAGAACGGGTTAGCAACATCATACATGGTGATTTTGACTCCGTTACATTTTTATCCTCCTGAAAGTTTTAGTTGGCTAGATTGAGTTAGTACTTAGATGAATCATAAATTCCTTACGAAAACTATGTAGTGCCTTAACTTGAATTTTGGAAGGAAGTTTTTACTTTGAATTGAATTTACTAAAAATCGTGGATCTGTAATTATACTTTTAAAAATGGGTATTGTTTTATGAATTTGATTGAGCTTAGAGATCATTCAAAAATGACAGTCTGAATGAATCACAAAACTGGGTATAATTATTGTAACAGTAAATATTTTTTCTGGTTAGAGTTTTCTTAGTGACCTGGTTTTCTACTGGATGTAGTCTCCAACCTCATGTATAACGCTCCCCCTTTATTCAGGCTTGAGATCGGCAGTAGCACCAAAGAGGCTCCATGACGAGTTAACAGTAAATACTTAGCATAAACATTTGTTTTCCTTACTTAGTAGTTGTGAACTAATGGAGTGATAGGTAAAGATACTGTGAAAGGTAATCGACCACTCTGTTCTTTATATGTGAGTAAATTTAATTTGTGTAAGTATTCAAGGATAATAGAATGGTAATATGAAATCACCTTATGTTAGGCGGTTAGAAATACTTGACAAGAAAATTATATTTCACTTAATTTTCCCCCTAGTTCGCACTCGTCAGTGACGTCTACCTGTAGTTTTTAAGAAAACTGGTGCTTCTTATGCGATTAAAACCGGTGTCGTCAAGCTTCTAAGTCTGATGTGTTATTATTGTTTTAATTGATTGATAAAACCCAATCAGCTCTGAAGCACCAAAGAAACTTGACATTAATCAATCGATTTAAAAAAACTGCCTAATTGTGTACTTAATGTCTGGTTACAGTAAGTAATTTTTAGACCAAATAATCTATAAAGAGAAGGATATCAATCAGGAGCTTGTCTTTCACAGGTTGTTTAATCAGCATGGGATTTCAATGGCTGTTGTCTATAATCTTTCTGTTATTCAGTGAACATCTAATTTGATTCTTTGACAAGTCTTTGTAGAGTTCAAAATGTAACTTAAAAATTGTTGGGGAGGTTAGATCCCCAGAACTCGCTTGAAAAATACCTTATTTTGGATTTCACGTTTGAGAGCATGGGTCGATCAGTTGTCCCACCAGGAAAATCCTTGACTGTGATTGGCTGCTGTGTATTTTAGTGTGCTATTTTTGTTGACTGTCCCAAGGACATTTCTGCGATATATAAATAAACGAGATTTGTGTGTGCTTGATTGCATTGTATGCTTGCTGGGTGTTTGTAAAATACACTTTCTACCCTATATCAAAACTTTTCATTAGTTAACAGATCAGGATAGCCTACCTGGACTCTGGTTCATTGTGTCATTCACGTTTATCGACTAAGGTGAACCCGTAATAGTTTCAAGCATACCTAGTGACGAATTCTAAAAAAATACACTTACTTTTAAGCTCAACTTCTTATTCTAATTACACTTTACAAATCAATACATCACAACAACATATTCTACCATATTTAGTCAATTTTAATTTCCCGCTATACATAATTGAACTTCACCTGCCTTAGAACAATAAACTCTATCTCATATTATATATACTATTGTAAAATATCTTTATTGAATTTTTTTTACATGCATTTACATACAGTTTAAATGTAACAATGTTCAATGTTCCATTGAACAGTGCAACATAATCATCAATTGATTATGTACCGACCACACTGAATGTTTCCGTTTCAATAATTATTATTATTTTTTTTTTTCATAACACATTTAATGGACTTCTTTTAAATGACTTAGTTACCAAAAGTCGATAACTACTACTACTATTATGAATATTAGTAGTATATAGTCGGAAAAAAAATACATATCCAATGAATTAAACAAGCCGCCAATCGATGAACAGCAGTGTTTTTTTTTCTTTTCCAATGCATTAAAAAAACCGGTTAGCTTAGTTTCGTTTTGTGTCATACTATACTATACTATGAATGTATCATCGTATCATCTAAAGAGAACAGTATCATAGTTTTCTTTTAGCGAAAAAATACTTCAAGTTTTAACCGTTTTTTTTTCATATTCCTTAAATGAATCACACAGAAGCGTCAGTATATTTTTAGTTGTTGATGTCAAAAAAATAGTATCCTAAAGAAACCTAGAGAAAGAAACATCAAAGTAGTCAAAGTGAAAAAAAGCTTTTCACTTCTCTCTCCCTCTTTCATTATTTACTCTTACCGATTTTCAGTCTAAACTTAAATGTACACGCTTGATTGCATTCACCAATGAATATGATCAGTTAATCAAAAACTGACTTGATAGAACTTTACCATAAGTTTTCTTTTTTGTTTTTCTCCAAAAAAAAAAATTATTTCTTAACTAATATGATTATACATAATGATTTACACCTTCCGTTAGGGTTCTATCTCTATTCAACCTTATCGAATTATGATATATCATTTAGTTTTATCAAACAAGTTCATCATTTATGCCTTTGTGCTTTGTTGTGTTAGCTTACTGTGAATTTACACAAACATTCATACGATGACCTCATAATTGCTGAATAAGTTATCCCACAATCCTTTCTGCAACCTCCAGTCTATTCTCTTAATGATTACTAAATGTATAGGTAGTTGATGATGAACTGATATAATAAATAGAGTGTATGTGCACATGGTTACTGTATATCAGACAAAATGGACTGGAGTGTAGACGATTACTGACCTTGATAACTAGATAATACTTGAATAATTAAAGAAAATTAGAGTTGGATAGTTTAATTGATTTGTAATATCGTTCAACCATTTACCCATCGATATTGTTGAACTCCACTAATCACCATGGTTCTTGTGTTAAGTTTGAGGCAATTACTCACTGAGTTCATTTAAAGAAAGCTGTATAACATTACAAATTGATCTCAGTTGAACGTATAAATGATTGAATGTTAGGTCAGTGGTCTAGACGTGAAGCATTTGCACCAATCAATGTCCTGAGTTCGATTCCTGATATTGGAGCTGACTGGAAGTATTGGGCACTGAGAAATTCCGCACTAGGATGGAATATCTGTTCAGCATATCTTAGTTTTTTAATGGGTTTTAAATAAGATAATTCTGTGGAATTCCAAAATGTAACCCCTTCATTGAAAGATTTGAAAATTTTGGGTCTCATGTTTGATAACATCACTGATTAACATAGCCGATGAATTACCAGGATAGATAAAAAAACCTGCTCATTGATGTGTCGTTTTCAATTAGTTTACGGCTATATAAAGTCCTCCTACTATTTGTGTGTTTCGCTAAGTACACTGCAATCTAGTTTTCACTTTACTGTTCTACTATACCCAGGTGATGAATAATTGACTGTATTGTAACGTAATTACGTACTACACCTACTTCTTACCATAAATGTAAATATTCTATCAAATTAATACACACAATCGATTTATACATTTTTATAAATCATAAAATATAATTTTTGTGAAGCGATTTGATATTCAAATCTTAATTATTTTGGAAAGGAACTGTCAGATGGTTGACGGTCACCTGCAATAAACCTTCCTTTATCTAGGTTTGACGCTAGTTGACATTCGCTAGCAGAGTGTACCTACAACTCTCCGGAGAATGGTGTTTCGAATAGAATTTTATCTCAGTGACATGTTCCCAACAACACGATACGTAGTTCAAACAAGGTGTTTTTGTAAACTATCTTCAACCAACTTATATCTGGACGTAGTGTTAACGAAGTTTAGTCGCATAGACTGGTAACCATATTACAGCTGGATTAACAGAGTTCGATCTGCACTAAACACAACGAAAACGTAGAATAAATCAATATTACTGAATAATCAGTTCAATTTGTGGAAAGAAGCTTCTCAAAATATTAGTATTGAATAACTGATTTTGATTGATAAAGTAATGTGCTGAATTTAATTCGGTGGAGTTTCGTTCCACAACGATAAACCAGTATCATATTTCAGTGGGGGATTTTTTTATCATTCAGTAGACAAAATATCAATTTTCTAATAATATTGACTAGAACTGACATCATTTTGAAAGTTAGTTCTCAATAACAACTCTCTATCCAGTAGAAGCCTATCTATCATTTTTCTCGGCTAAGATCAAATTTTTTTCACTTCTGAATATCATCATCGATTCATTATTCACGATTGGCGATTGAATTTGTCCCATGTTAGAAAAACAAACCAACCAAAAAAAAGAAATAATTTTAGACAGAAAGTTATTATTGATTGCCCATGTAAAAAATATCATATTACATAATTTTTTTTCTTACTTTCTTTGAAGTACATAGTATTCTTGTAGTGAAGGAGAAGAACACAGGTGAGGGCAGCCGAATTGTATTTTAGCGAAAATTACAGAGTTACTCAGTAAAAAAATAGGAAAACCATATCGTAAATGGTTAATTTGCAAATCTTCAATCCAATCCATCATCAATCCATTGTCTGACATTTCACCACTGTTTATGCGTTTCATACAAATTCCATTGTGTTCACACTCTTCCATTCTTGATCTTCTCCCATCTTCTGCTACCAGACATTACGTTTACACTCGCGTCATATACTACTTATAAGTAGTGCGCACCACATTCCAAATATCAAATTGTTTCTCTATCTCTCTCTCGCTCTCGCTCGCTCTGTCTCTGTCTCATGCATCAGACAGTCCTCTTTGGAACGTTGTCTATGAATTAGGTCAATGGTATACAATGATACAACTATACAACTATACAACAACAACAACACCACTGGAATCTTTCTTTAATTATCACAACTTATTCATTCATTGACAAAATAATACCTTAGAGAATACAAAAAAATATGAAAATAAAAAAAAAAGGACATAAGAAAGCGATTCGGTGAAGATTATTAATTTTCTAAATTACACATTGGTGTTTTTGTTATTTTGTGTTCAGTAGTTAGTTAGTTGTTAAAAGAATACATTGTATTTTAAAATAGTTTTTTTTCTTTACAATAAATTCTATTTCTTTCAAATATTACATCATTTACTGATAATATAGTTTAATAACTAATGTTTAGATGTTAAAAGAGAGAGGAGAATAACAGTGAAATATGTGTTTTTCAATTTGTAAGGATGTGTGTTTCACCATAGTTGATGTTAAGGATAGTCTTTTTCGGCATCCTTACATCCCGAGTAGAATGTTTCGGTATGGCTATTTGATCACAAATTTAAGTAGGCTTAGTTACACCAAAAGATACCTAACCATATGTAGTCCTCAGCCATCAACAGAGAGAAATGCACACATCCACAGAAAGCACTTGATAAAAGTCCTAATTTTGGATTTTATATTTTAAAGCATGTGCTGATCAGCTGATCTTAAGATTATATTTCCCACTCGGAAAATCCTTGATTGTTATTGGGTGATGTATTATTTTAGTACGCTATTTTTGTGGCTTTCTCAAGGGATGTTTCTAATTGTCAGTCAGTCAGTTACAACATAGATCTTTGTACATGAATGGATAAGTTCAGGTTGCCATACCACATCAGCGAAGAGACGCAACTGTCAGTTCGTATAGTGATAGACATAGTAGAAGTAATACTAGTAATGGAGAAGATTAGGGAGCAAAGATATTATTCAAGAAGTATGATTCAGTGAGATAAATTTAAAAAGAGAAAGATAGAAGTGATGAGGAATTCAGAAGGTTAGAATTTGAGAGAACACAAAGAGTGGATGCACCTTCGCCATTGCAAACGGTTTTGAGCCATGTCGTTCAAGGTCTCTAACCATTGGTGACTATCGTCTCGCGGACCCCAACCAGGTAGCCTACATCTACCAACATGACGTGTCAGTGACCTCATGGATTTGTACCATGTTTTGATTTGGCCGCCCCCAGCTTTCTTACTCCTACACCAAAAAACATAGCTCGTCGAGGCAGTCGGTGGTTGGGCATTCGTAACACATGTCCTAACCACCTCAACTGATGAAGTTTCAGTACTTCATCTGTTGATTTGTCACCCTTACCTAGTACTCGTTTCCTAATGACAGCTTTGCTTACTCGGTTGTCCCACAATACACGAGCAATGCTTCTAAGACATCTATGATGTTTCTATCATGCATAAATAAACTCGATTTGTGTGCTTTTCAAACTCGATTTTCTGGGTGCTTGTAGAATACACTTTCTGCGTCTTGTCAAGACTTGTTCCTCTATGTAGTGGGGCATTGGGACGCTCGAATTAGAGTGTCACTGGATCATTTGTCTTCGCTCTCATTTACCGAGTAAAGTGAACTCATAATAGTTTCAAGCATAACGACTGACGAGCATAACACCCTAACAAATAAATTTCATAATAATTACACAGACTTGTCTTTATATGGTAGTTTAAGCTCACAGAATAATGTGGAGTGGAAAAAACTGTGAACATTGATACTGTGATCTAAAGAAATCTCGCCAACAAATTCTATACAAAATGAAACGTTCATCCTGGATTCTAATGCTAGTCACTACACGGCCTTACTACAAATAATGCCTATACTTATGAACTGATAGATAACTCTGTCATTTCTTAAATAAATCAAGTCAACAGTTAGAATCTCATTCCAACGGAAAACTTCATACGACTCGCTTTAATATACAGTGTAAAATAATATCATCTTCCATATTTATCTTCATTTTTTTATAGTTTGGAATGCATCTACCATCCAGAATTTCCTGATCTTGTGGATATCGTCGAAGAAGAAGACGATGATGATGATGATGATGAGGAGGAGGATGACGAGGATGACGTGGATGATCATGTAGACGATGATGATGATGAAGATGTTGACATTGATGGCGATGACAATGCAATCAATGAACGACACGATACTAATGATAATGACTGTCGGAAAAATGTTATCCCTTCATCGAATGTGAATTGTGATGCGAGATCAATTAACTGTCCATGTTTTTCCAATGATAATTCAGAATATGATGAAATTGCAGATAATCAAAATAAAGATAATGAATGTCAAGAAAGAAATGATCGTGTCGTTTGGGATATGGCGTTTAATCAATCCGAAAATGTATTGATCAAAGTAAGTGTATACTATTATTATTATTATTATTATTATTATTATCATTATTACTTTTTTGTACATGGGAAATCACAAACTAACTGCTGAGGGATGTTACATCCCTAGAACTCGCTTGATAAATCCTTTAATTTTGGATTTCATGTTTGCGAGCATCAGCTGGTCAGTTGACCTTGAAAAGTTCATTTCTCACCTGGAAAATCCTTGGCTGTGATTGGACGACGTGTATTTTAGTGTGCCATTTTCCTAACTGTCCCAAGGACCTTTCAATGATGTATGAATGAACGAGATTTGTGAGCTTGATTGCATTGTGCTTGCTTGGTGTTGTAGAATATATTTTCTGCACTTATCAAGACTTCTCTTTTGCAGTTTGGGGATCAAGGTAGCCTACCTAGACGCTGGTAATTGTCTCGTTCGCGTTTATCGACTTAGGTAAACTCGTAATAACTTCAGGCGTACCTAGTGACGAATTTAAGGCTAACCATTCTTATCAATGGACGACTTTAATATTTATTACTTATTGTTACGCTCGTCTCTAGGTATGCTTAAAACTATCACGGGTTCACCTTAGTTGAATAACGAGAACAAAATGATGAACCAGCACACAGGTAAGCTACTCTGATCCCTTGTCCAAATTGTACCAGCAAGAAGTCTTGATATATTGTAGAAATTGTATTCTACAAATACCCAGCAAGCACGCAATCAATCCAAGCACTCAAATTGCGTTTATTTATACACTATAGAGACGTCCTTGTGACAGTTACGAAGACAGCAGACTAAAATGACACAGTAACCAATCACGGGCAAGGATTTACCTGGTGGGAAGTGTGATCTCAAGGTCAACTTATCGATCCATGAAATAAATCCAAAATAAAGATATTTTGCAAGCGAGTTCTGGGGATCTAACATCCCCAACACTTATCATTTATATTACTGTTTTATTTTCGTGCAGAAATGCCGTCACTAATCATAAGTCAATAAATACTGCAACAACAACCTATCGATTCCCAGTTGTTAATATTAGACATTGTGATTAGGCATTTTATATTGATAGATGTACATCCTAAGTGGATTGCCTGGGATCAAAAAATACTCATCTAATGAGTCTGAATTACAATGAGATGAGTGTCTTGGAATCCACTGCTAGCCACCGTCTAAATATACTAAACTCTAACTAAATAATGGTTAGTCTACTACAAATGATGGATTTCATGAAAGCTAGTGATAGGCTATCAAACGTATGAGCAACTATGTAGGAACAACAAAGATGTTCTATCGAATTACAAATTGACTGGTGTATTTGCATCAAGAGTTTGACAATACCATCCTCATTGTATGTCCTGAATATTGTTGATCCAGTATCCTGTGATAACTTAAGAGAGCACTGACGATAAATTGGTGACTAAAAAGTGACTATTAAGTTTTAGTTAGATTACCAATAGTCCTTCAGTTGTAGATATCATTTGAAAACTATCAAACAATAACCAATACCTTTATGAATTCAAAAACTCTCTAACTGATCATTCATGATATTTCAGATGGCGATGTTTATTTTCTTTACATAATATATTTTCATCTCCAGTCTCATCACGTTTAAGCACTAGGTACAAGTAATGATGACCTCATACTAAAGTTCTAACTATAGTCTACTCTACGGATTTTGAGACCAAAAAGTCTATCAATCAAGAGAGAGGTAATACGCTGGGTTTAATCACTTCAATATTTATTCTTGTACAGAAACCAACAGTTGTTTATATGGTGGTTACAAATCATTTTGAATTGTCAGGAATTTCAGGAAAAAAATTCCAAATAGCTATGTGTATATTCTGTCAACCAGAATTAGGGAAAAACAAAATACATATTGAAATCCTATATACACTTAAAATTTACCAAGGTAACTGATTTGTGAAAATAATCTAGGCATGTCTGTGTTGAAGTTTCACGCCACAGACCAGTTTACGAGCCAGACAACCACTGAAAATCAAGAGGAGGTTCTCAGTCACCTTTATTTACAGACCTATCGGGGGGTCGCACCTAGAACCTTTGGAGCGTATGGCAAGTTCTTAACCTGAATATTAGAAAGCTAGAACCAAATTTATCAGATAATCTATCGTCTCTTTCCTTCTAAAATAAAAATACTGGTCTTAATCAATATATTTGATGAGATTTTACGATAAAACTCATCTGAATTTTACTTAAGTGATCTTCACATCAATCGTTATTACAAAAACATTATCATTATTATTATTTCATTTCTTTGTTCAAAATTCAAACGAACTAAATGTTTCAGTTTAAATTAATCTTGTTTCATTTTTTTAATATGGCACCAAACCAATTTGAATGAATCTGAAAAAAAATGTGCTGCAAGATTGTTTGTACTAAATAAAGAGGAATTAAATTTTATTAAAGTATCAATAAAATATACACAAACGTTATTCTCTAATTACTTCAGTAAAAGTCATTTAATACTTTCTAAACAGTTATGTTAATTTAATAATTTCAATAAAATGTCATTTGCATTACGGGGTTGTGAAGATTGTTAAGTTACACATTTTTGAAAACATGAATCGATCAATCAAAGTTAGATCACCATTAGAAACCTGCGGGGTGCAGGAGTCGTGTATGCGCACTGCTTAGGAGTCCCATACCAGGACGAAACAGCCGTCCAGTGCTTCCAGGTTTCTATTGGTGGTCTAACTTTGATTGATCGATTCATGGTTTCAAAAATGTGTAACTTAACAATCTTCACAACTCCGTAATGCAAATTACCTGTACTCACTTGGTGACTAGCTTCGTGAGGAATCTTCTCCGAGTTCTAGTGGTGGGAAGACGTGACCAGTGAAGTTCAACCTGTTTGGGTGTAGACAGTAACTACTAGCGAAGACTGTGTATGAGGTTTCGCAACTCCGTGAATTGATCAAGTTAGACATTAACACCGTTAGATGGTTCGATGATTAGGCGTCCGCGTACAATACCGAAGGTCATGGGTTCGAATCCTGTGAGGAGTAGCAGTCGTGGATGCGTACTGCTGATTCGTAGTCCCATACCAGGACTTGACGGCCGTCCAGTGCTTCCAAGTTTCTAATGGTGGTCTAACATTGATCGATTCATAGTTTCAAAAACGTCATTTACCAATAACTTCTAAAAGTTAAGTTAAGTAACACTAAGATAGTTTGCTCACTTATCACGTGATTCAGATAAAATGGATTTTAATCTGCGTGAAACGAAACTAATTACATCGGAAGTAAGGATAAATACTTGAGTGCAACAAAACCATGGCTTTTGGCTTCCAAACAATTGTCAACCGCCTGACATTGCAACATATCGCATGTATTACATGGAATTAGTTTAGCCACATTACAACTTGACAAGTACAATTCAGTCATCACTAAAAGAATTGATTAACATGATATTGATGAATGATTTCAAAGTACAAACAATGTGTCTTGTCATCATTCAATGAAATGAATGTCAATTTGGTGCAGTTTTTTTTCAAGGACATTTCTAAACACGTATACTTTCTGAAATACAAATATCGATTAGAACGCAATGTATCAGTAAAGCATGTTTGACTACTTCCAGTCATGATAGTTAGTGTGTAACAAATAAAACTTTATTACTGAAATGCTCAGGTTGTCATCGAAAACTCAGATAATATTTTCTAAATTACACTCTGATAAGTAATTGACAAAAAGTACATCAGCTTCTAATGTCTGATTTGCTACAGTTTAGTCAAATTTATTTCTTCATCTAAATTTTATATATATTCTCTTGACAGATGTTAATAGACTAGAATCTCTACATAACTATTCAACAGTGATAACTTACTTACTTCTATCGTTAAATAGTACAGTTTGATAGCTACTGTTACTTACTTTACGTACTTACTTACGGCTGTTAGCCTCAACGGAACATAGGCCGCTGACCAGCATTCGTCAACCTACTCTGTCTTGGGCCTTCTTTCCTAGTTCTATCCAACTGCCGTTCACTCTTCTGATGTGTGCTTCCAATTCTCAGCGAAATTTTTTCTTTGTTCTTGAGAATCCCAAGTGATCAAAAGTCTGGTGACGCAGTTGAGTGCTTTCCTCAATGCGCATCCTATCCACTTCCAGAGCTTGTTTCTAATTTATCCCTTTGATGGAGTCTGGTTTGTTTTGTACCACAGTTGGTTGTTGCTGATGGTGTACGGCCAAGTATCTTGCACCTTTCGAATGATGATTTACGTGGTTCTCCAGGTTTCCGCCTCATGCAACAGAACTGTCTTAACGTTTGTATCGAAAATTCTGACTTTGGTATTGGTTAATTGTTGTTTTGAGTTCCAGATAATGTTCAGTTGTAGAAATGCTGCCGTTGCTTTGCCGATCCGAGTCTTCATATCTGCATCTGATCCACCTCGCTTGTCAATGATATTGCCCAGATATGTAAAGGTTTTAACATCTTCCAAAGGTTCGCCGTCAAGTATGATTTGGTTGATGCATGTTGTGTCGTATAGGAGAATCTTGCTTTTTCCTCTGTGTAAATTGAGGTCCACCAATGTAGAAGCTGCTAATACACTGGCCATCATCACCTGGATATGTTGCTATATGTGTGAGATAGAAGAAAAGGGTCATCTATGATGTCTAAATCGTCCAGCTGCATATTAATAGTCGCTCTGGTTGTCAGATAGGCAACTGTCCTTGTGACTTCCATAGAATCCCAGCTTTCGCCTTGAGACACCATAACACTTCTAAACGAAGATATTCCATCTACCATCGTAGAGTATAAATGGTTTGAATTATTCCTTCTGGCTAACGTTTTTTCAGCGAGCCGGTCTTCTACGGGATGAGATCTCGAACCCCAATGACCAACGCTCTCCCTTTATCAGAGCTTCGGACCAGCAGTAACCTTGGAAACGCTCCAGTCAGAGTTAACAGTGATAATAGCTACTTAAGTAATGACAGACAAGCAACTTTAAATGTTTTAAACAACTGAATTCAGTAAAAGACTATGTTACCTAGTAAATCTGATGTAAATAAATTAATAATCGATAAATTTTAATAATTAATGAAAAACAATCATAATTATTAATAAATTATTTGATTGATATTGTATATATAAAGTAGATTATAGAATTGTAAATGTTTACAGAACAGTGACAAAATTTCAACACCGAAAAAAACTATCCATGATTTATAATATTCACTGTTAGTTGTTATTGAATAGGAATTAAATTATCAGAATGATCAGGATGACATTGAGAAGGATCGTTACATTTTATCGATTAAAATTTAACTGAGGCACCATTGGATCTGAGCTAGGTGATCCTAGTTAAAAGGTCACGGATGTGCACAGATGAAACAATTTATATGAATGTAAAATGATAATGGCCTTGAGATCACATTTCCCAGCAGGAAAATCCTTGGCTGTGATTGGTTGATGTGTTATTTTAATGCGCCATCTTAGTGACTCTCCCAAGGACGTTTCTATGATGTATAAAGAAACGCGATTTGTGTTCCCTGAGATCGTTGTGTTTGCTGAGTGTTTGTTGAATACAATTTCTGAGCCATATCAAGACTTTTTCGTGATTTAGTTGGGGCAACAGATGAGAGTAGCCATCCGTGTCACTGGTTCATTGTCTCATTCTCATTTATCGACTAAGATGAACTCGTTATAGTTTCAAGCATATCAAGTTACGAGAATAACAGAATCTTGCAATGCACAGAAGTTTATGGCTTTTATTCAACCTACCACTAACACAAACAATACAACGATTATTACCTTTAGTTAAAAACATAGATTTCATTGATACCATTTACTTCAACAATATCCAATGTACCAGATATTGGATTGAATTCATTCTTCAACAATGTAAATAAACAAATGATAACTAAACAATTATCAACAATAAGAATGAATTCAGTTTATTTTTTTTAAAAAAAAACATTGTATTGTTTTCATCATTGATATAAATAAAAATGGAGGAGTGGCGCCATTTTCTTTTCGGCTAATTCTTTTATATTTGATCTTGAACAATAATAACAAAATGATCAATGATGCATTCAATTGATGCCCTTTTTTCAAAATGAAATTTTAATTACAATACTACTACTAATACTACTCATGATAACGATACAATACAAAATGTAGTTGATTTATAAAGAGAACAGAATATTACTGTTGAATTGAATATCATTATGTTTTTTTTTCATTCTAATCAGTGATGCATAAATATCCGACTAGTATGTTTAAAGTTGTTGTTGTTGGTGAGGTTACGTAATGTGTATGTTGAATATAAACTACAATAAAATGATGTAGTGGGAAAGAAAATACGATGTTTGATCACGATGTGTACATGTATTCATTGATGTTATATGTATATATGTTATGCTCGTCTGTCGATATGCTTGGAACCATTATGAGTTCATCTTAGTTGGTAATCAAGAGCAAAGACAAATGATCCAGTGACACAATAGGCTACTCTGATCCGAGCCTCCCAAGACCCCACTAAGTAGGAGAAGAAGTCTTGATATGGAATAGGAAGTGTATTCTACAAGCATTCACAAGCACATGATAGAAATAGCATAATAAAATGATGCATCAACCAATGACAGTCAAGGATTTTTCAGGTGGGAAATGTAATCTCAAGGTTACCCGGTCAGCCCGTGAGCAGAAGCATAAAATCCAAAATTTGGACCTCTATTAAGTGCGTTCTCGGGATCTAACACCCTCAACAATATGGTAATCAATAGAAGCCTGATATGATTTACAATACCAACCATAACCGTACCAACACTTGGAATCAGGGCACAGTAACAACGTTCCTCTTGCATAACATTATAACTAGTAGAGCAGTGATAAATTTCGTTAATGGATTATTGTCGTGTTTGTTGAAGTCAAGTGAAATCTTCATCTGCTATCACCTTTATCATTGTATTCTATTTCAAATGTCTATTTCCCGTAGTTATATAATGACCAAACAGCATTATAACCTCTGTTTTAAACAACCCGATTATCATCAGAAATTCCTTCCAAATAGACTTACTAGTTTAGCTAAATTAAAGGTTGGTTTTTCTTAGCTAGAAAATAAATTTTGTTTCTTTGACTGTTTCCAAATATTTAGCTTGCTAATTTGATAAAAAAATTAAATTTTAGTGAGAGGTGAGGACTGTCCAAGTTTAGAATTGTCGGGAGTGAAAAAGTTGTCCCTAATAACACTGGACAAACACCTCATTAAATCACAAATTAATTGCAGTTGAAAATGAATCATTGAATGCCAGCCTAGTAGTTTTAATTGTTAAGTATTTACAGCTAGTAGTAAAGATCCTGAGTTTGATCCTTCATTGTGTATTGAAACCGTTTTGGAGTCCCCTTATAGGACGAAAAAAACCGTACACTACTCCTCCGTTCTTAACTGTATCTCAGTTGAGCTCAATCTCTTATAAATATAAACTTGCACATATTAAAATAGTTTTATTCTTTTCTTAACAGGAAGTTACTTTGTGTCGTAAAACATCAGATGAAAAATTTGGTCTAACTCTTTGTTATCGTCAAGGTGATATATGCAATACAAGTTGTAATGTTTATGTTGGTGAAGTAAGTTGAATTTCTTTTACTTATTTCAAAACTATTATTTTTATTTTCATGATTGTCATGAATAATGAAAAAATTATTGTTGGTTTAGAGATACGTATGAAAAGTTATGGAAAGTAAAACCTGATTATTTGTTTAAGTGAACTGTCAGTCTGAACTACCACATTTGATTTTTATTGAAATCATGGATCGATCAATCTTAGACCGCTATTAGGAACCTGGAAGCACTGAATGACTGTTTCTTCAAAGTATGAGACTTCTCAGAAATTTGTATCCATGACTTCCGCATGCGGGACTCAAACCCAGGACCTTCGATATCACGCGCGAACGCTAAACCTATAGACAACTGAGCCGGTATCCAATGGTGTTAATGTTAAACATCGATCAATCTACAGTCTTTCGCAACCTCATCCATTGACTTAGTAACGGCTCATTTGTCTAGAGTTTAGGCATTCACGCGCGAGACAGATCGTCCTGGGTTCGACAACTGTGGGCAGGAGTTGTGTGTGTGCAGTACTGATGAGTCCAATAGTGGAACAGAACGGCAGACTAGGTCGTACAGGTTTTTAATGGTGATCTAACGTTGATCAATTCATGACTTCAATGACTTTTATTCTGTAAATAGCAGTTAAATATTACTTATTTATAACCCCTGAACAAGAGTTTTTTCCTAGTCTGAGATTTCCAGTCAGTGAACATCCACTACCCTACTTTGTATCAAAGATATTAATTTCATGTTACACGGTTAACGCTTAACTAGTGATTCACTGAGTAGTTATGCGAATATTTTTATCTCCTTAATTGCGCCTCGTTTACAAAATCAATATTTGCTTTTACGTTTAGTCAAACTGTTATAATTTTATTACATTAGAAAGAAAACGTACTTAAACTGTTATACATCTAACTAATAATGTTGTTATCTTTATTTACTTACTTACTTACTTACTTACTTACTTACTTACTTACTTACTTACTAACTTACTTACTTACTTACTTACTAACTAACTAACTTACTTACTTACTTACTAACTTACTTACTAACTTACTTACTTACTTACTTACTTACTACACTCAAGTGAATAGGTTTCTTTCTGATTACTAAATACTAATCAGAAATAATTCATAAAAACACGCTAGAATTAGAGTTATTTTTCTTCTAACATTGTAACAATAAAAGTGATATTTACAATTTCGACTGAAAATTCATTCAAACTGTGATCATTTATGAAATCTGAAATACAATTTTTATACTTGACGAATTTATTTTACCTATGAATCATTATTGTTGTCGGCATTTTCATTCGCTTACTCAATTCATTACGACGTCATAATGATTTTCATAATTTCTACTATTCAATATCATCACTGTTTAAAACGAAAACCAAAACGAGAATGAATGTCAGTCAATGTAAGCGCAATCAGATGACATTTTATGACTGAACAGTGTTCTATTTTACTCATTAGGCTCATTATAGGTATAATCAATTTTTATATATTTTTCGGCAAATGAAATATTCTACAATGAATAATGGTTTGCAGCATAGGTTTACTTTCGATAACAAACAGTTAAATGATAAAATTAAAATTGATTCTTTTACCAATGAAGTTTATGTTTGATTTTATAAAAAAAATCATAAACAATTACTGACTACCATATAAAATAATTAGTCTAAATCTATTCAAGCTACTCATTTATCAAAGTTTCTTGACTTAGTCTATTGTATAGTAAACGTAATGAATGTCTTTATCTAGGGTGAATCAGTTGAACACATATTCGCAGTACATTTGAACTTAAGACCTAAATGGCAAAAAGATGTTTTGACTTGAACCATTAATTTGTTTACGGGAAACAATGGTATTTACGACTATATGGAGTACTTAATAAATCTGATGACTCCGGAATAAACTGTAAATTTATTGAAAATAAATAGATAATTATCCAGTCAAACTTTAATACATAAGCTAACGTTTTTCTAGAAGCTCCTGGACGCTGTTCATTGAACACTGATTCACCGAAAACTTTCGACGCCTTTCACAGCTTCTGAAAACTTTTCTAAATAATCCTCTGTAGCTTTTAATAAATGCTCAGAAAGAAGTGAAAAGAGTATGTAGACAATCTTGTTTGTCCAATAAAGACAACCGGTGATAGCTAGTTTTCAGTTTAACCATGTAATCTTTGTTGTGATTTTTCAAAGAAGGGATTATTTTACATTATTCAATATAAATCAAAATGCTGACTTCTTCGCCCATTTATGACAAATGTCGAATCGATTAAAACTGTCAGTTTATTGCAAGTTTTTTTATCAAAATCGTTTTAGAATTTAAAGTGTAAAAACTTTATTGATTCACATGTATGCTTATTGAATGTATTTCTTCATGATAAATCAATGCAGTTGACAATTTATGCCTCATAACGTGTTCTATACTGTTGGGGATGCTAGATCCTCAGAACTCGCTTCATAAATGCCTTAATTTTGGATTTCATGTTTACGAGCAG